CAATATGCATTAGAGATCGACTTGGGAATTAATAAAAAAGGCGCGAAAAAACGATCTAGTGATGAACTATCGGGAGACGATAAAAATGAGGATTCATCAAAGAAGGAGATGGATAATAAAGACGTGAAAAAACGGAAGACGAAAAAGAGTGATGCGATGTTGGGAGACGATAAAATTGGGGAAGCTTCAGGGAGCAACATGGGTTCAGGACAGCGTAATTTGAAGCGTTCTCGTGATGCGGTGTTGGTAGAGGATGAAAGTGGGGAAACGTCAAAGAAAGGAAATAAAAAAGACGTGAAAAAACGAAAACCGAAATAGGGTAGATAAAGTTAATTCAGTACATGCATATTCCTGTAATATATTTTCATTTTTGTTATATTAATAAAGCTGACCCTAGTGGCCGAATTTCGCATACATAATCGTGTTTACTTTTGCATGTGTATTTCGTGAATTTATTTTATTGTATTGTTATCGATGCCCATATATGATCGGATTTTTTTAGTAGTTTACCGCGTGACCAAAAGTCACGCACTACTAATTTTTATAAACTCACTTTTGAATATATCCGCATCTTATATAAAACAATGGCAAACACACAATCCAAAATCGATTTATTAGAAGAATTGAATTTTAAGCTTCAGGCTGAGAATAGTGAACTTAGAAATAAGAATGCTAAAGTCAAGGCTGAAAATGCAAAATTAAAACAAGCTTTAGAAGAACATGAAACCAGATTCACGAATCTAGAGCAGAGAGATAAAGAAAAGACCAACCTTTTTGCTAAAATTGAACAGAGCGATAAAGAAAAAACTGACCTTATTGCTAAACTAGAATATTACGTCTCATTAATCAAGGAACAAAGCTTGCAAGACAAGAACATGGCTTTAATAAGTGAAGAAGTACCTGTTTCTTCTGAAATAAATTCTATCAATAATCATAAACAGATAGTCTCACAAAGTGAGGATGCCCTCGCATCTGATATATCAGATAACATATCAAATTTTGATGTATGTCAATCGATTAATACAGAGCCCAAATCCCCGGAAGACAAAGCAGATGATGATTTTCTAGATCTAAAAGAAAAGAAAAGAGTTAGTAACGAGATAAGGCAACGCAATAGAGAAAGGAAGCTTAAATGTGGATCAACTATCCAAGACATTTCCTCTGACTTATCTCATATTATAGAAACTATTAACTATCAAGATCCGAAATTATTACATGATCAAAATTTGGAGTCATTCACAAAGTCGCAACCAATCTCTAATGGCTCTAATTTATTAAAACAATCCTCTACAGAGCAAAATACTAACTTGCAAAATACTAACTTGCAGAAAATAAAAACATCCGAAATAGATATACAGCCTTTGATACAGAAATTACTTCTAGAATATTCAGAAAAAGATTGTATAATTAGAATTTAGGAATAGAAATTTCGTCATGTATTATGGGCTACGACCCGAACATTTGTATATTTTCGCATGCATTAATAAAAAAAAATTGAATTTTGCAGGTATATATGATAAGCAAAAAAATATATAGTCATGGAACTGCTATTCCAGGGCTATAAACAATTTATTTATACACCTTAGCAAAATGCTTGTGCTAGAGCCAATATATGTTCTGGCCCTAAAACACTAGTCTTGGTAAATGCATCATATAATGCACCCGGTCTATGCTTTGAAGGAGCTAAATTTGAATGATGGAGAAGTTTCATAAGCACGTCATTCCTTCAAGTTTTCATCTCTTCTTGCTCCCAAGTTATTTCTATTAACGTAGTCAAGTTATCAATGGAATAGTTCATTTGGATTAGATTCTGGAGCGAAGATCGTTTATTTTTTTCTAGAGTAAATAGACTCATTCCTCCCATAACAGCAGACTCCACACTAATAATAAATTTTTCACGAATATCTGCTCTAATTGCTAAGACAGATAAAGGCGGAATTAAGGCTGGATAGTAGAAGTCGGCTAGGAGATCTAATTCAAATTCTCTGACATACATAGTCCCAATATCTTCTAAATAATCTGAAAGTCTATCAACATATTTATAACCTTCACGAATCAACTTCTGGGATAGCTTTGGGGTGATTTATCGGCCAGTTAGTATATTAAGTACCATTTTTTTCATGTCTATAGAAATGAAATAGTATGATGTGGTATATATTTTTTTGTTTATGATATACTTTTTCCACTCAAGTTCAATTCAGATTTTTCATTTTGAAATTCGATTCTATAATGAGGAAGGTGCAAGAATATAATAAATAGATCGTCTTACCTGCCCACATATTAGAAAAGATGGGAGCACTTGTGGCCGAGTCTGCACCCGCTTGGCAGGATATTCTCTTCACTGGAAATCAGGTGCAAATAATATGCTAAAATCTCTATATAGAATATGCGATAAACCTACATTATCTTATACGGGCTATTGCTCCAAGCATGCCAAAAAAATTTATCATCGCCTCAAAAGAGAGAGACAACGAATAAGTTTGTCATAATGATGATGCCTACTTGTATGATGGTCGGTTACTTTAGTAAACCCCTATTAATAAAAATTTT